AAGGGAAGGGAAGGGAAGGGAAGGGAAGGGAAGGGAAGGGAAGGGAAGGGAAGGGAAGGGAAGGGAAGGGAAGGGGGTCTCGTTCCGGCTCTGGGGGAAGTTAAAGAGGAAGTTAAAGGCTCAGACTGACAGTACCTGGCATTTCGCTGCACGACATTTCCTTTAAGGGGCAGCAGAAAGTCATTAAGTTCAGCACCTCTATAAGGACTGGCCTCAATCTACCGTGCTCAGAAAGAAACTTACTGGCAGATACTACTTTTTTTTTTAATTAAAAAAAAAATTATTATTGATTACCAATCTCATGGATGCCCCAGTGAACTGCAGGGAAGAATAGTGCCTGAAAATGGACTTTCTAAAACTGGCAGAAATGTTAAAATAACACTAAGTGTGTGAGAATGAGATACTCAGTAATGAGGCAGTAACTGATGCTTTCAGTGCATGTCCTTTCTTGTGCTTTATTAGCCCAGTTTGTCTGTATTGATTAAAAGGGGCTCGGTGTGAGGTTATGGTTAAATGTGCATTTAAAAAGTCGCTGAACTGGCCTTAAGGGGAGTGTGTCCTGGGAAGGGGAGGGTGTTGTGGGCAGGGCTGTGCTCAGTGACAGTGAGCTGTGCTGAAGTGTTGCCAGCTGCCTGATTTAGTGGAATTGTGCTGGTAGTTTTCTGCCTTTCCTGGTGTGCTGCAGAGGGCAGAGGCTTCAGAGGGTTCTTTAGGTGTTTTGTTACATAACCCCACGTTTATAAGGTGCAAAGGATTATTTGAAGTCTTAAAATTGATAAGATAAAGCATAGAGCAAGATTAAGTATCCTTTTGTCTTTGCTTTCTTTAATATGTTGTGAGAAAGGATTTTTTTGCAGCAGTACCTTCAGTATCATTAGAGTTCTGCTTTCAGGAAACTTATATATGCTTCAGCCCTGAGAAAAACTGTTACAAAATTTAAAAAGATACAATCCCTACAGGAATGTTATGTTGAGGAATTACTGATCTATGGAAGGTTTTTTCTAACATTTCATCCTTTCCCTTAATTCTCTAAGAGGGCACAGGACATGGCTTGTTGGTGTCTGTCTTTCTACAAGCGTATTTCTTGTCAGGTTCATTCTTTTCCATGCTGGGAATACATTAGGTGTCATTTGCAAAGCTGTGTTTCTTGTTTTGTAGCTACTCATAAGTGCTGACCTTGATCCTGTATGTATAAGATCAGCTGAAAAACCCCCAAATGCTTTCTAAACTGGATGGAAATCAAATCATCTGCCCTGGAAACTCATCTGCTTTGAGGTGAAACACCAGGCATTTTTCAGGAGATTTGCAGCAGAGCGTGCAGCTGGAGGAAAGTCACATTTATGGGCTCATGGGGAGCTAGGATCTGACAGAGAAATCCTTCCCAGCCACACCAGGCCATGTGGAAGCATTCTGGCTGTGTTATGGTTGTGTTTGTTTCTGCTCAGCCATTGAATGGTGGAAGACATGAGTCCATGTGAAAAAGGATGAAGTAAAGGCTATGGAGTGAGGCAGAAAGTGCTGACCTGGTTCTGATGAAGTTAGATTTACGGTATTTTAAATTGTTACTACTGCTACAGCTGAACTTGGTGTTAAAAATACCTGGCTTTGCTGGCATTTTGCTGGTCAGCATCCCTTANACGGTATTTTAAATTGTTACTACTGCTACAGCTGAACTTGGTGTTAAAAATACCTGGCTTTGCTGGCATTTTGCTGGTCAGCATCCCTTAAGAGGCAGAGAGGGTTCCCTTCTTGCAGTGTGAATGGGATCTCACTAAGAGTATTTTTGGTTCTGATTTTGCTGAATGTTAGAAAGTGAACTTGCAAGTGTGGTTACCCTACCAGTAGAGAAGCAGCAGCATTTAGAAAGTAGCTCTTTAAAGTGATCATCAAAACTCTGTTCTGCTGCCAGTTTGAGCAGGTGCTAATACCAAGAGCTTCCTTTGAGAGCAGGAGGGTCAAGCAGGAGCCCCAAGCTCCCAGAGGAGGGTTGTGTGCTGCCAGGTGCTGGGCAGGAGCACAGCACCCAGGGCCTGGAGCCAGCACCAATGTCAGCTATTTAATGTTTGCTGTTGTTTCCAATGCCAGGTCTTTGTCCCTGGCACCACTCTTGTTGACTTCCAAAGGGAATGAGTTTGTCATTTCATTCACAATCTTTTTTTTCCTGCTTGTACTTAAAATAACAGCAGATCAATGAATTGGATTTATGTGGCTTATGTGATCCTAAAAGTCACTGTCCATTTCTAAGGAAGTTGTGGGCAGGAGAAGCCACAGCCTGCCCCTTCCTACCCAAGAAAGCAGAGCAAGTGAGTGACAGTGAAGCTCAGGGGTGCCAGACCTCAGGTGTAAATCAGACCTGTTTTAAACAGCACTAATGTGTGTTTGTGGGAGTGATCTTTGTCTTGAAGGCACAGATGAGGTGCCCTGCAGTGCAAAGTACCCAAACATGTTCATTATTCTCACCCTGGTATAGAGGTTATATCATGTTTCATGGAGGAGGATGATATAAGGAGGAGAGAAATGTGACCTGGCCTGACAAGATCCCAGAGCAAATCATGTCTTAATTAACTCAAGTATTTGCATCATGTGCTTATCCATATTTTAATGATGCAACTTCTACTTTCTTAAAAATTCTTTTTCATTCTCAAGAGCCCTTTCCACAGATCTATTTAAAAATGCACCTGCCAACCATATGCTTGGAAAAAGGCTCCAGCAGTGTAGACAGGAAATTCCAAATTCTTGCCACAAATTAAATGTTGCCTGGTAATTACCAAGGACAAGACGAATGTGCTTTGCAGTTATGGGATGAGTAGCAAGTCTGGCAATAAATTTTGCTTTCACAATCTGTCATTCCTCTTAGTGTTCCAACCCTCTGTTCCCTTCTAAGTTGTAATTTCACTCCCCAAGTTATAATGCTGAACAGTATCTGTGTTATTAAAGTTTATAATAAGTGTGCCTCCAAGGAGCACGGCTGAACTCCTGCCTGCTCCAGAGGCAAGTGGGGCTGCAGAGCCCAGCTGCAGTTACACCCCATACCTCCAAACACTGCCAGCATCTCCCTCCTGGTCGAAAAGCAGGAAGAACCCCTCAAGCAGAGTGCTTGCCCCCTCCTCAGGGCACTGCCAGCCGTGTGTGTCTCCCCGCAGGCGTCCTTCCCGGGGAACCTGCACTTGGTGATGGTTCTGCGTCCCACGGGCTTTTTCCAGCGCACCTTCACCGACATCGGCTTCCGCTTCAGCCACGAGGATTTCCTGCTCAAGTTACCGGTACGAGCTGCTGGCAGCCGCTCTGCCCCGGGCCTGGTCTGTGCCCAGAGCCTGAGCCCAGAGCCTGTCCTGGTCTGTGCCCAGAGCCTGTGCCCAGAGCCTGAGCCCAGAGCCCGTCCTGTGCCCAGAGCCTGTCCTGTGCTCAGAGCCTGTGCCCAGAGCCTGTCCTGTGCCCAGAGCCTGTCCTGTGCCCAGAGCCTGTCCTGTGCTCAGAGCCTGTGCCCAGAGCCTGTCCTGTGCCCAGAGCCTGTCCCGGGCTGTGCCCAGAGCCTGCCCCGGGCGGCAGGATGGGCTGGCACTGCCTGGCACTGTCCCCGAGCCTCTGTCCCCGTGTCCCTGTCCCCAAGCCTCTGTCCCCACGGGGAGAGGGACACGGAGCCACCACAGGGCTCCGAGACAGCCTGGCAGCGCTCAGCCCCTCTGCAGCCAGGCTGGGACAGCTGGGGCTGCTCACCTGGAGAGAAGGCTCCAGGAGAGCTCAGAGCCCTGCCAGGACCTGAAGCGGCTCCAGGAGAGCTCAGAGCCCTGCCAGGACCTGAAGCGGCTCCAGGAGAGCTCAGAGCCCTGCCAGGACCTGAAGGGGCTCCAGGGAGAGCTGGAGCGGGACTGGGGACAAGGATGGAGGGACAGGACCCAGGGAATGGCTCCCACTAGCAGAGGGCAGGGATGGATGGGACCTTGGGAATTGGGAATTGTTTCCTGGCAGGGTGGGCAGGCCCTGGCACCAAATAAAAGCTGTGTTAAGCCATAGTGTAAGAAGGAAGCCCTGCTCCAGAAGGACATAGGGCAAACTGGAGCTGGAGGTGCAGCAGAGATGAGGGGGCAGGAGCGGTGGTCCTGCTGACAGAGGCCCTGTGTGTGTGTGTGTTTTTGTGTGTGTGTGTTTCTGTGTGTGTGTGTGTGTGTGTGTGTGTGTGTGTGTGTGTGCAGGTGGTGATGCTGAGCTCTGTCAGTGACCTGCTGACCTACATCGATGAGCAGCAGCTGACCCCGGAGCTCGGGGGCACGCTGGAGTACTGCCACAGCGAGTGGGTCATCTTCAGGACGGTGAGTGGGGCTGGCCTGGGGCCACCTGGGGCTCTCTGGGGGTGGTTTGTGTCCCTGGGGGTGGTTTGTGTCCCTGGGGGTGGTTTCTGTCCCTGGGGGTGGTTTCTGTCCCAGGGGTGGTTTGTGTCCCAGGGGTGGTTTGTGTCCCTGGGGGTGGTTTGTGTCCCAGGGTTGGTTTCTGTCCCAGGGGTGGTTTCTGTCCGTGGGGGTGGTTTGTGTCCCTGGGGGTGGTTTCTGTCCCAGGGGTGGTTTGTGTCCCTGGGGGTGGTTTGTGTCCCTGGGGGTGGTTTCTGTCCCAGGGGTGGTTTCTGTCCCCGGGGGATGGTTTCTGTCCCAGGGGTGGTTTCTGTCCCCAGGGGTGGTTTCTATCTGGCAGTGAACACTGCGGGGCTGGAAGCAGTCCCCAGAGCCACTGCTCCTCCTGGGTCAGACGTGCAAAGGAGCCAAGGGCTGTTGGGCTTTGGTGGGTTTGCAGGATGATTTTGTCCCTCGGGCTCCTTTTGAAACTGAAAAATCTGTCTTTTTAAATCTTTATTAGAATTCCCTTAATGGGAGATACCAAATAGGCTTTTTTGTTAATAATGGTCGCTTAATGTGATTAATATCCGAACTGTTTGGGAAGTGGAGTAGTGAGACTGCCTACTGCATACTGACCAAATGCAGAGAATTCAGAACATTTCCAGTTTGGTTTGTTTCTTTTCCTTGGCGACACCTTTGATATTGCCAGGAGTCAGGAGCTGTGCCTTGCTGTGTGTTCTCGTGCCTCCTGTACACTGTCAGTTTTCCCTGGGATGTTGTCTCCCAGAGGAGTGGCAGCTTGGATTCCTGGGGGGTGTTCTCTGCCTGGACATCCCCCCAGCTCTGGGAGCTCTCGGGCTGGCCTGGCACAGCTCAGCCCGGCTGGAGCCGTGGGGCTGGCCTGGCACAGCTCAGCTCCCTCGGAGCCGTGGGGCTGGCCTGGCACAGCTCAGCTCAGCTCTCTCAGATCTCTCGGGCTGCCCTGGCACAGCTCAGCTCCCTCGGAGCCGTGGGGCTGGCCTGGCACAGCTCAGCTCAGCTCTCCCGGAGCTCGGGGCCGTGCTGAGGCCGGGCTGACACGGCCCCGTGTCCCGCAGGCCATCGAGAGCTTTGCCCTGACGGTGAAGGAGATCGCGCAGATGCTGCAGAGCTTCGGCACGGAGCTGGCGGAGGCGGAGCTGCCCGAGGACATGCTCTCCATCGAGCGCATCCTGGCACTGCGCACCGAGCGCTACTGCCAGCTCAAGGTACGGCTGGGCACAGCCCGCTCTGCCTGGGGCGGGGTGTGCCCGGGGCTGGGTGTGCCCACTGCCCACTGGGGTGTGCCCGGGGCTGGGGTTGTGGGGCTGCGCTGCCTGCTGGACTGGTGCCCAGTGTGGGGTGATGCCCAGTGTGGTTGGTTGGTGCTCAGTTTGCTTGGTGAGTGCCCAGTGCTTGGTTGGTGCTCAGTGTGGTTGGTTGATGCTCAGTTTGGTTGGTGCCCAGTTCGGTTGATGCTCAGTTTGGTTGGTGCTCAGTTTGGTTGGTGCTCAGTTTGGTTGGTGCCCAGTTTGGTTGATGCTCAGTTTGGTTGGTGCCCAGTTTGGTCGATGCTCAGTTTGGTTGGTGCTCAGTTTGGCTGATGCTCAGTTTGGTTGGTGCACAGTTTGGTTGGTGCCCAGTGCTTGGTTGGTGCCCAGTTTGGTTGTTGCCCAGTTTGGTTGTTGCCCAGTTTGGTTGGTGCTCAGTTTGATTGATGCTCAATTTGGTTGTTGCTCAGCTTGGTTGGTGCCCAGTTTGGTTGTTGCCCAGTTTGGTTGTTGCCCAGTTTGGTTGGTGCTCAGTTTGGTTGGTGCTCAGTTTGGTTGATGCTCAATTTGGTTGGTGCCCAGTTTGGTTGGTGCCCACTGCTCCCTCCGTCCCCCGTGTGGGCTGTCAGGCGAGGCAGAGCCCAGCCTGGCTGTCCCTGTGCCCTTCCCCGTGCCATGCAGCGGGCAGGTCACGCTGCAGCACCAGCCAGCTCTGTGAGCTGCCAGCCCCTGGTGCCCGCAGCTGCAGCCTGCCCCTCCCGTGGGGTTGCACAGCTGCTCTGTCCCCTGCCTGCTCCTGTCCCCAGCTGGGTCCCTCTGCTCGCCCTGGCTGCAGAAAGCTGCACAGAGCTCACCACAGGCCTGGAGGGTGCTTTGTGCCCGGGTGCCTCTGCCTGCTGGGCACTCAAGGGAGCTGTGCTGGAGAGCAGCCAAGGTGAAGGTTCTGTGTGAACACACGCTACACAGCATCCACCCTATGATCCCTTGTCTTCATGAGAGCCTTCAGGTTCTGTCTTAAACAGCATTTGTTTCTTGAATATTTAACATTTCTTTTTCAACTCTTTGCTATTGTGATTAATATTATCACAGGAGTCAATGGAAGGTGTAGTGCAGCCAGCTGCTGCTTTATCAGCCTCTTGTCTTCGGTGCTCCTGCACCTCTCAGGGAGCAGCAGAGGCCCCAGACCCTTCCTTCAGATGCAATCACTGTGGTAATAGTTGTTCTGTGTGGCTGAAGAATGAGCTGCTTTGCTTTGTGACAGGTTTCATTTACCTAAGTCAAAGAATTGTATCTATTTTAATTTATAATAATTTGTCATTCATGTGACAGCGAGTTCCCAGAAAGCTGCCTCTAAGAAATACTGAAAATGTCATCCAAGTTGTGCTGTGTGTAGGCATAAATACGTTGTGCATGTTTAGAAAGTATCATTATAGATACTGTCAATGGGCCTCCATCTCTTCTTTGAAAATGAAGAGAGTAATATGAAATAGCAGCCACATCTATTGCAGCATGTCTCAGTGATTTCAGCTTCGTGCTCGGGACCGTGGCCACAGTGCAGGGGCAGGTGGCAGCTCCACGGTGTAGGTGAGCAGTGTATAAACCACTCAGCAGTGCCCACTTGTCTCTGTGCAGAAATAAAACTCATCAGGTGCTTTCATTTGCCTAGAAAGCACAGCAGCACTCGGTACAAGCCATCTGTTGCTTTTAACTCCTCATCTATTAATTTCAAATATCAAAACCACTCATTGGCTTTTGTCAGTGAGGTCTGTTGGCTTTTCTATTTTGTTCCTTCTAGGACCATGAGACACAAAAGCAGATGAGAAACTGCACAGGTTGTGGTGACAGCAAGACATGGGATCCTTTTCTCTCTCAGGACAACCCCAAGACTGGTTCTGAATTGAATCAATTGATTCCTGAATTCAAATATTTAGTAAATCAGAATAATTGATGTAGCTGTGATGCTGAGCAGAAACTGGCATCAAGCACAATGAAAAAATGACAGAAATTACTTAAACAGAGTAACTAAGAAATGAATCCCACTGATATACTGGACAGAAAAAGTCAAGTTACCACCTGTTTGATGGTCTGGCCACTTTTCTTTCTGGATAATGAATGGCTTGGAATCAAAGAAGGAGCATGGGTCTCTGGGGAGTGAGGTGAAAGAGGAGGAAACACCATTCCCCTGCAGTGTAGAACATGCTGCAGCATTTCCCTGCTGGGTGCTCTGCCTAGGGCAGTGTCTGAAGGAGCTGGGGTTGTGCCTGTGCCCATCTCCAGGGTGTTTGGTGACAGGGCACAGAGTGGCAGTGGACACTGGGTGGGAGAGGTGGGTTCTGCAGCTGTGCTGCTCCTGAGGCTGATGTTGTGTTTGGGCTGCTGTGAGCTATCTGGGGCAGGCAGACACTGGAGCAAGTCAGGGCTTTCTGAATCTTCTCCCTGAAGAGATTTTGCCGTTGTTTCTCTTACAATAAAAACCTGGCCATCTCCTAGGATGGGCTCTGACTCCTCCAGGACCTAGCTCTGCAATGGAACCATACACAGGTCACTCCTTCAGGGCCTCCTCCACCTCAGTTCATCAGCTCCATGTGTTTTCTCACTCCTCATTTCTGTGTTTGGCCCCTTTTTCCTGGGAATAGTTGACTCAATGCACATGTTTGCTTTGGGGCTGAGCCCAGCCAGCACAAAGCACCTCAGCTGACGCTGATGAGGACCCCAAGGGTTTAAATTTTCCCTGAGAGGTTGTGCTGGGGGTGTTGACTACATGTGTAGAGGCTGTAGTGAGTGGTGCTGTGTGGGCTCAGTCCTGGCTTTGTTGCCCCGTAGGATGCTCCTCTGACAGCCTCCTCTCCTGACCTGGATGGAGAAGCACAGCCCTCAAGCTGTGGACAGTCTTGCTTGAAGCCATGAACTGGTGGGCAGAAGTCTCACACCAGCAGCAGCTGCTCATCAGGAGAGAGCTGGGGCAGTGCTGGCCTCCTGAGTTGTTCTGTGGCCTGGTGTATTCATGTGTGACATTTCCACCCAGCCTGGTGACCCGTCCATGGCTCAGCCCCGTGCAGCTCCAGGGGTTAATTCCATGTTAAGAGGACAAAAACATCTGCTGGGAGTCCTTTGGTCTGTTGGGTATTGCTGCTCTGTTTCACACAGGGAAACTGAGGCAGGGGAAACACAAAACGACTCATCCTTACTTTGCACTAAATAGCCTGAATGAGAAATGTTTTGTGTGATACAGGAAGATATTACAGCGGTCACAAAGGAGGGAAACCTGCTTTTGAGCAGTTTTGAAGAGCCAGACTCAGGGGAATGCAGTCAGGAGCAGCAGCAAGAGAGGCCTGGGGACTGGGAGACGGTGAATCGGTGAGTGCACTGTGTTCCTCATTTCCCCGATTCTTCAATGGAAACACCCGAATTATTCAGCTGTGGCTGTGTTGTTTAGGTTGCCTATCAGAGACAAAGACAGCAGAATTTTGCTGCAGTCCGTCAGATTGCTGGGTGATTTCTCTCATGGTTTGACTTGCTCTGATCTTTATCCCCACTGCTATGATGAGGCTGTGGGGCAGATGCAGGGTTCTCCCATGCCAGGCTCCCAGGTTTTACCCAGATAAATGGAGATAGCAGCAACTGCTTCACACAGATGCTCTCCTCTGCAGTGCTGATTTCATTAAATCTCTCTCTGAGATCCTCTCAAGTCACATGTATGTGTCTGTTGACTTCTGACCTTTGGGTGCAGAAAACCTGTGTGGGTGATATCTAGGTCTGGTCCATCTCTGCTCGTTCAGATTGTTCAACCTTGTCCTTTTTCTGTGCCCAAGGTTGCTTGGTCAGCTGCGTGAGATGGAGACTGCTTTTGATGGCTTCTGGGAAAAGCACCAGTTAAAAATGGAACAATATTTACAACTGTGGAAGTTTGAGCAAAGTTTTCAAGAGGTAGGCTCAGATGTGCTTCTGTTGGCAGAAGGGAGAGCTGGAGATCCGATGGAGAGAAGATTTAATGCTTTTTATTTTGAGGCTGTTTAATTTATGCTGCTGTTCCTTGACTGTGGCAGGGCTAGCCAGCCTGGGGAGACGGCTGTGCTTCCTCTCTGAGAGCTAATTTAGGAATCACTGCCTTGCAGTCGCGTGGATTTTGCTGATGGGAGCATCTTTGAATTTAGAAATTAGTTCTTGGATGCTAGTTGTATTATTGGATTTAGCAGTCTTAGCCCAAGTGTGATTAATTTTGGGCTCAGAAGGATTTCCTGCCTGTGCTTTGTATCCTTTTGCAGCAGTCTCCTTCTTTGTGTCTAGGTCAAGAATGCCATTGAGTTTTTAATGGGTCAGCAAGCGGAGCTGCCCGACACCGGCGACAGCATCCCCCAGGTGAAGCAGAGGCTCAAGGACCTGGATCATTTCCATGGCATGGCTCAGGTGAGATAGTCCTGCTCAGAAAAAGCACTGATGAAACACAAGAGCCACGCTCTGTGCTTGTGGCAGGAGGTGTTTGCTGAAATCACCTGGTTCTGGTGTAATTTGTTGTAAGTGCTGCACAAAAGGATTGATTTCATGTCTCTGCTCTGAGCAGCAAGGCTGTGATCACTCTGAAAGCCAGAAACAGGGTATTTAATTATCAGAGTTAAAATAAATTGCTGAGCCACCGTGAAAATCCGGAACAGATAAATGTCTGAACGTGGGGGAGGCGTGGGATTTAATGAGCTGGAAGAAGAATTTTTTATATTTTAAGTGCTTTAGCTATGCTAATAGGCAGAAACTTGTTACCAGGCACATGGAGTTGCAAAAAAAGTTGTATCCTGATGTCTCTGTGACTTGAACATAACATATGGGTGAAGACTAAGAGATGGAGGGGAAAGAAGAGTGAAATGATTCACAGGAGCCCAGCTAAGGATGTGACCTTTGCAAAGGGATGTGCTGGGCACCTGGGCCAGGGTCAGCAGAGAAATCCTGAGGGGTCTGGCCATAGCAGAGGAGAGTTCTGGCGAGAGGTCTGAGGCTTGCTGGCCATTTGGAAGGAATGTTTGGGGAGAGGGGGAGGAGGATCAAAAAGCCAGGTAGGGTGCAGTAGGAAGGCCAGCCCTGGAGAAACCAGAGCCATTACATGACTGAGGTGTGCAGAAAAGATCCTGTGTTCTTGGTATCAAGATAAACCCTAACTCCTCCAATTCCTTGGATGCCTGGGAGCACGGTGGCCTGAACTGGGCCTGAGCTGCAGCTTATTCAGGGTGTGGTGTCTGGAGGGGCAGTGATGCACGGCCAGCAGACACTCAGCGTTGCTGCTTTGGTGAAATACTCTTTTCTCCTTCATCCTCCCTATGGGTGGCAAGGTTTCCTTCCCAGATGGTGGGTACACTTTCTCCTGTGTGCTGGCTGCTCCCTGTGAGCCATCTCCAGGCGTGCCCGAGCCCTGGGGAGGTGGGAGCACCCGTGGGTGGCTGTGTGGGCTGTGCCCCGTGTCCGTGGGTGTGCAGCCTGGGCTCTCCCTGTGCCCGCAGGAGCTGATTGGGAAGGCCCAGCTGGTGATACTGCACGGGCACCAGCTGGCAGCCAACCACCACTACGCCCTCAACCTGATCTGCCAGCAGTGCAACGAGCTGCGGCACCACTCCGACCTCCTGGCTGAGGACATCAAGAGGAAGCAGATGCGCCTGCAGAAGACCTTGGAGCTCCATACCCGCCTGCAGCAGGTAGAGTTCAGAGACACAGGGCTCTGAGGGGATGGCTGGTCAGCTTCTCCGTGGGGTTGGCCTCTCTTCTTCGCTGGCAGCATCTGAAATGTTCACCTTTTCTTCAGTTAATGGTAGGGAGGTGTTCCCCAGAGGCTGGAGGAGTGCCACACCCCTCCCCTAGCTGGGGGTCAGCAAACAGGTGTCAGCTGGTGCTGTGAGGGCAGCAGAAAGAGGTGGGCATCTCCTCAGAGCACCAAGCTCAGCTGCTGCTCTTGGTGGTGCTTTCATGCTACATCTGTGTATTAATTGACTTTGGAGGTTTTCATGCCCAGTGTGACAGAGGTGATGCTCCCACAGAAACTCCAGCCCTTTTTCCTGAGTGATTTATTAAAAATGAACATAGTTGAATGTGAAATAAGGTGACAGATTGGTAGATAGGTGCAGTTGATCTGTGCTACCATGGAAGTGGAGTCATGTGGCTCCAACGCTCTTTGATATCTTAATCAGAATCAAATATTCATTTAGGGAAATTCACGCTAATTAGGCCAGAAGGCACATGGCTGTAATGTGCTTGAGGCCAATTAAAAAAACAGTGAATTTTGACCCTGTTGCATTTCCCTGTTTCAGGGAGCTGGGGAGCTCCTTTTTCTCTGTGTGCTCCACTTGAGCATGGTGCTGCTCTGTGGGGACAGGCAGCTCCTGGCAGCCTCTCAGCTGCAGGGCAGGGGTCTGTCCTGGGCTCCTTGCAGGCCTGGTTGGTGCTAGGGTCTGGCTTGGGCTGTGCTGGAGCACAGCATGGTCCTGCTCTCCATGTCTCCCGTCCCATTGATAGCACTGGGAATTCTCTGTTGGTGGCTGGAGCATCCTCTCAGCCCTGTGCACACCTCGGTGTGTGAGTGCCAGTGAGCCCCAGTTCAGGTCTGCACTGAGCCCCAAGAATGTGCCACCCTCCCTGTAGGGCTCACTTCAGCTTTCCCAGGAGAAACAAAAAGCTGCTTGTTTAAACTGGGGCCAGCTGTGCTCTGGTACCTCCCTGCCAGCTACAGCACTGGCTTTAGCCAGCCACAGGTAGGAACAGCTTGGCTGGCTCTGCTGAGGGCTGCAGTCACCTCACAGAGAAAATGGGGGCTTTGTGCCATCTAACCAAACCACAGCAAGTGCTGAGGTCTTTGGGAAAGGCTGCATCCAGCCCAAGCTGTGACATTCCTGGTGGGACCCAGGGTCAGTGGAGGGGCTGGGGTCTTTGGGAGAGGCTGCATCCAGCCCAAGCTGTGACACCCCTGGTGGGACCCAGGGTCAGTGGAGGGGCTGGAGGCTCTCACTGGCTGTGCTGTCCCAGGCCCTGCAGTGCTGTGATGAAGGTGCCTACCTGCTCGCCAACCAGCAGATGGACAAGTGCCAGTCTAAAGAAGGTGCTCAGAAAGCTCTCCAGGACATAGAAAGATTCCTTGAAAGCTCTTCATGCTACCTAAACTGTGATCCCCAAGCCCTGCACTACGACTTTGAGTCAGTTTTAACCTCCGAGTTGAAGGTAAGCAGGGCCCAGCCCCTGTCCCAGGAGCGGGGAGCAGGGTGGGACATGTGGCAGCGCTGTCACTGTGCTCTGGGCCAATGCAGGTGAGGCTGTCACTGAGCTCCCTTCCTCTGCAGGGCCAGATCCAGTCGGTGCAGGTGAAGCTGGAGAACGTGCGCAGCATGTTTGAGAACAGGCAGTGCTGCTTCAGGAGGCTGCTGGACAAGCACGTGCGGCCCGTGCAGCTGGTGGCTCCTCGGCCAGAAAACCCCCCCCGGGCCAAGTCCCCCCTCTTCTCTCCTAAGCACGGTAACAACCTGTGCAGTCCTGGTGTTTTCAGCTGGTGACTTTGCTCTGAGGCAGGAAGAGTAAGGCTGAGGATGGTTTTGAGAAGCTAACTAAGCCTTGCTGGCAGATAGGAAGTTATTGGATAGTGTTAAATATTTATCAGGGGATTTATTAACTCTCCAGTGTTTGTGTTCCCATACCTGCATGAAGGATGGAGTTGGTTGCTTGTTATTCATCTCCACTTCCCACTCAGTGAAAAAAGAGCTGTAAGTAGTGCACACCTCCAGTTCTGCTTTACTGGAAACTGGTGAATTAATACCACAGGGAAAAAAGGGCAGGGTTTATAAATTTATTAGCTTGCCTATTCTCTGTGGCTGTCTTGAGCTGGAACTGACATAAAGTTAGACTGATGCTTGCAAAGGAGCTTGGAGAAATGAGGAGCTCGAATCTCATGAACAGAAATGAGCTGGATGCTTAACTCCTTTTGATTCCTTCAGGGTGTCTTTCCTAAATCCCAATTGTGGAATAATTATGCCCATAAAGTTACAAATTTTCACTGAACTGAGGTCACTGAATGTTCTGCCTTAGTTTTGGTAATGGGATGTGGCACCATGTTAGCTTTAAATGATAACATTAAACTCAGGGCTGCCAAGGATGAATCAGGCAGAATTAAGAGATTCCAAAGTAGCATCCATGTGTTTCCAACCAGGGACTTGCTCAGTTATGTCAGAATATTCAATTCAGTGATCTGACTATATAAAAGCAATTAAACATTTGTGTTTTAACACAAGGTTTTTATGATGAATTAACAAATATTGGTTATGGTGAGTTGTAGCAGGTATCATACAGCAGCAAAAGCAGCTTCAGTTCAGGGAATGAGAAATGTAAATGGCCAAGTGGAGGGGTGGGAATGAATCTGGATGCAATGAAATAAAGCTGAAGATGCAGGCCAGTGCAGCGAATAAATCCCAGATTTCCTCTTCCCAGGCTGATGCCACCCTCTCCAAAGCACATTACCTTCTGAAGCCCTTTCTCCTCAATCAGTAAAAGCTCTGATTCTTCAAACTAGAGCACTGCCATTTTACCTAGCACAGCTTTTCCAGCTTTCTAGAAAGAGGAAAGGGTAAAAGGCAAATATTGACCTAAAGAGTGGGGTAAATGGGTGGCCACCCCTGTGGGATGTTGCAAGCTCACCGTCACTCCGCTGGACTTTTTTCAGGCCTTTATGGGACACGGGTTTTCCTAGCAGAGGCTCTCAGTCACCTGCCAAGCACAGGTGTGCTCCATTGATCCTCCTCCTGGAAGCAATGATCAAGCGTGGGGCAGACAAAAGGCTCCTCTTTGCAAAAGAGAGCTTTTTAATAAAGCCTGTTTGATAGCAAACATCAAACTGCTGCAGGCTGCTGGCGTGATGGGCAGTGTCAAAGGCACACGCTGAGCTCTGCTGGGAGTGCTTTGAGATGGATGGGTTTTATGGTGTGGCTTGAAACCAAACCAACTCTGAGCACATCGTTTTCGTCCTCTGTTTCTTTCTTCCTCACATTTCTGTGCCCCTTTCCCCCCTTCTGTTTCTGTCTGAGGACAGATGCTTCCTCTTTTATCTTTGCCCTGGATTTGAAGCCTGTCTGAGAAATGTGGTTCTAATTTTTAAACCATTTTTTGGGGGTGGGGGAGAAGAGTAACTCCATCCCCCTGAGCCCTCAGGTGTAGTGGATGTGCAGAGGTGGCACTGCAGGCTGTGGAGCAGAGGCCCCTTGCAAGGGAGGCTGGTGCCCGTGTCCCACCCAGCTCCAAACCCCTGTGCCCTCCTGCCAGGGCAGTCTCTGAGCAGGACCACTGCCAAGTCCTGGCCTCTTTTGGGTTCTCCCATGTGTGTGGGCCCAGCCACGCACACCTCTGGCCTTCTGCAGCCCCCAGACTCCCTGGTTACCCTGGTGTGATCACCTGCAGCAGCTGCCCCAGCTGGGCTCTGCACACCAGTGTGCCCCAGAGCCTGCCCGGGCCCCTCTGGGCTCTGCAGCATGTCCACATTGTTCTTACCAGCCATGGATGATGCCAACAGCTCACTGCAGACTGGTGCTTTGTGTCTCAGCTTCCAGCTCTCCTCTGTAGCTCAATTGCAGCTTGTAATCATTTACTGGCAATATCAATACATTCGTGCAAGATGGAGAAACAGTTTATTGCAGCTGAGCATCTTGTCCTACATTCATAAAAGAACTTTCAAACAGTGTCCTAGCAGGGGATGTTATTTTCTGTAGTTTATTTGCCTTTATTGTTTTTGCTGTTATCATCTGCTCAGGCTTCAGACACTTTGTTAGGTTGTGATTACTATGTTCCCTTAGGGAGCATTTTGTTTTTTCTAAATATTTGTACTTTATGGCCTTTATGACCATGGGATGTGCTATGTGGAATCAGTATTGTTTGAGATAAATACCCTTTATTTTGTCAGTTTGCTATCAGTACTAGCTAACTAATTATTTATTCTTAAGGTGTATCCCATTTTTCTTCCTGACTTACTGATTTCTGTCTGAAGAGTCCCCTTCACCATAGATGTACATTATGTAATTCTGCTTTTTTTCTATCCAAGGTGTAGATTTTAATTCCAGTTTGAAATTTTCATTTGATCTCTCTCTCCCTGGGAAGAAAACTTCAAGAAAAACTCCAAGTTCTCGCAAGGTAAAAATTAATGAAATCTGAGTTATTTTTATACAGGGAAAAACTGAAACTGCTCGGAACATTGAGCATACTTTGGATTTGGAGAGACTCTTTCTCCTTTTAAAAAACCCAATCAAACCCAAACCCTCTTGCATGCATGTGCTTTAGTTGGATTAGTCCAACACCTGAGCTCTGTGTTGACTGATTTTACAATATCCTGATACCTATTTCCTGTGTGTTGTTCCCTGAAGTTATTTCTTACATAACAGACGTGTGTATTAGGAAATATCCCCTTCCACAGATATTTCCCCTGTGGAAACTGTTCTCTGGCCTCTCCACTAAGGAATTATGTTACCAGTATTTTCAGATCTTGTGTAGCAGAGTAATTTCTGGGAACATTTGGCTGCCCATTCCATAAAACCCTTTACATAAAACCCTTCTAAGGTTTACTGCCCGAGGTTGTTACAGGGAAGCGGGACTCGTCCTTGCCCAGGGAGTTCCTGGCTGGCACAGGGCTGGGTTCCTCCTGCCCTGCAGGGCCCTCCTGCAGCTCTTCCCTGCCATGCATCCCTTTTCCCTTCCAGATCGAGGTCATGCACGACTACCAGGAGAAGAGGAGCTCCCTGCAGTGCTTCATTTCAGACAGCGATGACAGCTTGGATATTCTGAAGGGGTGAGCACTCGCCCATTCTCATCACCTAAAATTGTGTTTATTTCTGGCCAGTCCTTGCCCCATCCCCTCCAGCCTGGCCCAGCTGTCCTCACTCGTGCTTTTACCTCTCAGTTATTAATGAGATCACAAAATGGTTTGGGCTCCTTGAACTGCACTGATCACTCGTGGGACTTTTTATAGACATGGAAATAATGCACTTCTATTTTTTTTTTTTTCATTTTAGCCATGTCATAAATGAGCTTATAGAAACAGAGAGGGTGTATGTGGAGGAGCTCTTCACTGTTCTGACGGTGAGTGACTTCTCCAGGTTGCTCTTGTACAAAGGGCACCTGCCCCTCTGTCAGACTGAGCAAAGATGGGACAGGGCAGGCTTCCACCAGGCTGTCAGATCCCAATCTAGCCACAAATGCTCAGGTTTCTCCTTAGGTTGCTTTTGTTGGAGGCATCTGCAGGAACAGTTGGTGTCAGGATGAGCTTTTCACCGACAGTGAAGGAGAATCCTTCTATTTGTACACAAAGCACTGGTAATCAGCCTCAGCAGTGCCTGTAAAACATACAGAAAGCTGTTTCTTTTGACTGTTCCTTAATTTCCTTTACCTTGAGGAGACAAAAGGAAGCAGCTTGTGTTTTATCCTTGGGAGGGTTCTGTCTCAATACTGTGAACTTCATGACTGTATGAAGCACATAACTTTAGAAAGTTGATAATGATTGCTCATACCGTCATTTTAGACTTTACTACTTTATTCCAAAATAATTCTTGCTGATGGCCAAAACAAGCTGGCTGTTGAATAGCTTCCCCCACACACGTTTCTCTCACCCAGGAGCAAGCAGGATGTAAATCTGTTGTAGTCACACATAGTTTCCCTGCACTGATTGGGTTTTTGTTAAACCACTCTCTGTGGTGAAGCACTTGGCAGGTACACAGATTTGTTACAGTGCACATCGAGTTGAGATAGAGAAAAATGGACAGATAGACTTCAGTTTTCTGAAAATTCCCTTTAAAGAGGGAAGCCTGCTTGCTGGCAGTACATAAAAATGACTAATTTTCCAGATACTTATCATCTATTGCATCCTTAATAAACTACAAAATGCCTGCTTAGTGCAAGGAGTATTGGTTCCAAGCACAGTTACTGTGAGAGGTGAGTTTGGAAGGCCAGAGGAGATGTGCTGTACATGCTGAACACACTTTTGCTGCCCGTGTTGGAAGGGCCTTGGTTCTGTGCAGCCCTTGGTGGCCAGCAGGGCCAGCCTGAGCTGTGGCCAGTGGCATTCCTGGGGGCCTCTCTGCACTGCTGGTGCTGAGCTCTGCTCCCTGCACTGCAGCTAGGGAATTTGCCATATCTGCTGCAGTGATGGCCTGTTGCTCTAGGGAGCTTTACATTAAATCCTGGTTCCACCCAACAGTTTGTGTTTCAGTGCTGTCCCTTCCAGCTCCTCCCCAGTTTGGGAGCTCCTGATGCCAAGGGGCAGGAGGAGGCACAGGGCCCAGGATTGCTGGAGCACTGAGGAGCACTGGGTGACCCTTGTGCTCAGCGTGTCTTGTGCAGGAGCAAAGAGGCCACGGATTTTGGATCTGATCTTGAGCTGTCTCTGCTTTGCAGCTCTCCTGCAGGGGCTCTGGTGAGGCTGTGTGGAGCTGCACTCTCTGCACGCACACACACACACACACACACACACACACACACACTGTGTCCCATGTCCCCTGGTGCTCTCCCCACACATGCTCCTGTGGCTCCTCTCCTTTGGAGAACTGGGAGCATCTCTGCAGTGCTGCCAGCCCCTGTCCCTCACCTTTCCCCTCTGGACCACAACCCTGTGTGACCCCCAGGGACTGAAGACGGGGTTTAGAGACCAAAAACCAGGGAATAGAAGAGATACTGTGATGCTAGGGAGGGGCAAAATGACTCATATGATTTTAGAAGGTAAAAATGAGCGCTTATTCAAAAGCAATTCTCTCTTTTATAGAGAACATAATGAGCGTTAATTCCATTGGTCTTAGAGTAAAACCATTTCACCTGATTGGTGCACTGGGCTTAAGTCAGTGTGGTAGAACATATCTATAGACATATGAATGGAAAGCAAGATAATCAATTGCTCTGGGACTTTTTCCCAGGCTTAGCCTGGCAGAAATCTTTCTCTTTTTCTCTCTGACTGAACTGAGAACATCCACAATATTACACTTAGAAAGATCAGATTGAAAGTCTGTTCATGTCCCCTTTTGATCTGCCTTTGAGGGATGGCAGCTGAGTGGGGGCCCTTTTCCCTGGCAGGGCTACAGGGCTGAGATGGATAATCCTGCCATGCTCATCCTCCTGCCCCCCGTGCTGAGGAACAGGAAGGACGTTCTCTTCGGGAACATGCCCGAGATCTACGACTTCCACAACAAGTATGGTGCTGCTCTCTGCCCCTTCCATCATCCCTGGGAGTGCTGGACACCCAAACCTCCCCCTGCTCACGGCTCTGCTCTTGTCCCTTCTCCCTCTCTTGCAGAATTTTCCTGCACAGCCTGGAAAACTGCCTGGGAGCACCTGAGAGAGTGGGATGTTGTTTCCTAGACAGGGTGGGTGAATCATTTTATATAAAGCAGACTCAAGGGCCTGGGTTTCTGCTGGCTTATCCCACTCTGCAACACCTCAGTTATGCTGGTTGGGTGAGAGGCTCCTGGCCCTCAGGAGCAGCAGCCAGGCCAGCAGAGATGGCAGAGCAGCTGTTGTGGGCACAGCTGTGCCCCTGCTGTGCTCTTTTCACCCAAACTGTCGCTGTACAACTAAAGTTGGCAGCAGAGGAGGAAGAACACACAGTCTGGGTGCTGGCCTGAGCTGCTGCCTGGCAGGACTGGGTCCCTGAGGGTGACTGGCCCCTGGGCTTGCCTTGCAGCGGGAGGATTTCCAGATGTATGAGAAGTACTGCCAGAACAAGCCCCGCTCCGAGTCCCTGTGGAGGCAGTGCTCCGAGAGCTCCTTCTTCCAGGTGAGTGAGTGCTGCTGCTCCCCCCGGGTGAGTGAGTGCTGCTCCCCCAGGCAGGGACTCTGCCTTGTCCCAGCACTCCTCAGCAGCCCACAGCTCTGAGTTCTGTCTGTGCTGTGTGCCACATGCACACCAAATACCACAAAAGGAGATGCTGGCGTTTCTCCTAGCCCTGTACGAGGCAGATCCACTCACTGGAGTTTGCATGCTGTTACAATAGTTCTTTAGCTGTGGCTGCCATTCAGCACTTTGACATGAAACCTTTGAAGGCATCAAACCCCACAGCTGTGCTATGCTGTTGGAATATCTGCTTACAGATGCTGCAGAACTTACTTAGGCTGACTTCTGTGTTCCAGGAATGCCAAAGAAAATTGGAACACAAACTGGGGCTGGATTCCTATCTGCTCAAACCAGTGCAGCGCCTGACAAAGTACCAGCTGCTCCTGAAGGTATTCAATGTTCTGCTTCCAAAGGGCATCAGCAGAGAGATTAGATTTGGTTTATTTTTCAATTAAAGGTTACCTGTAAATCAGCACTGAGCTTTGGATGATGTATTGCTTGTCTTGGCCTCTCCTGAAGTGACTTTCAGTGAAGATGAATGTTCACATACCTGAAAAAAGACCAAGACCTTTTAAGAGGCCATTTTTTAAGCAGAGAAACACTGTTTGAATCTGCTCAGAGAGGCAAAATTACAGAAGCACCTGTTAGAAAACCAAGCCAGAGATGATCACGAGGATCTGATGAATGAAATAAATTGTTGCATCTCCTCTTCTCCTCGGGTGTTGATAGCACCTGTAATCTTCAATTTATCCTTGTGTCCTCCATCTGAGGCAGGGCAGTGCAGTTATTCTTTGTAAGAATAACTTTGTAAGGCAGGAGTAACACTTGGGTAGTATCTTCTGAGCCACCTTCCAGCCTCTTGAATGAGCATGCATGCAGCTGGAGGTAAGCACAGGAGATCTGAAATGAAACTAATTTTATCTCGGTGGTAGAATTCTGTCCTCCATTTCCTGACCTGAAGGCTCTGGATTTTATAAATTCTGTTCCTTGTGCCTGCCAGTCTGGACAATCATCAGTGCAAGCTCCTTTGAGGGCATATTGGCACTAATGGAAAACCCCAGCCTTACTTCCCATATCTCACCAAGCAGGAAAACACAACACAAAGGAATCAGGAGAATGTGATGCCTCTCTATGCTGACACCATCCTAAAGGAAACACATTAAAAATATACCATCCCTCATTGAGCTGCTCCACACCTCACACTGACTGTGCTTTAGAGGGAGCCTTTTTCCAGTGCCATGAAAAAAGAAACTCGATGTAGGTCATTTCTGGGCATTGGAAACTTTGGGCAAGGTGGAAAAATCTGCTTTGTTAAGTGCAAACATGTGCCCTCCTATTTCTATTTTCAGGAGCTGCTAAAGTACAGCACGAGCTGTGATGGGGTTCAGGAACTTCAAGAAGCTCTGGTTGCAATGCTGGATTTGCTGAAGTCAGTCAACGACTCCATGCATCAGATTTCAATCACAGGATATGACGTGAGTACTCTGAGCAAAGAGCCCTTGCACAGGCTGGGTGATGCACTGGCCACGGGTGGTGTCCAGGATG